ATGAGATGATAGATAGCCAACGAGGCGCGTAGCGCCGAGTTGGCTATAATCATTTCATATCCAACAAGCCCGAGTGGAATAATTGTTTATTAAAAACGCCCACAAAATCTCGTTGAATCGCCCCGACTAGAACAAACCGGAAAAGACAAGGGACTTCCTCTATTCACATGTCACACGTCTATCAAAACTGTCAACGCGCGAACGGACTCGCCTGGACTGCATGAATGAAAAATCAAAACATTGTAGCGATGAACATTAGTTTTTTAAAATAAATAACTCTAGATAACTGTGAAACGCGAGTAGAGTGGAGAAAAACTTATAAAAAGAGCGTTTAAAAAATATAAATTGCTGTTTTTTCCCAATCCTAGGATTTGCTTTTGAATTAAAGGAAAAAAGCATTATAGCGGAGCCTAGAGTCCTTGATCAATTTCTCGGGAGCCCTGGAGCCCTGGTCCGGAGCCCCGGAACCCCGCTATTTTGAGTCCGGAGCCCCGAAGCCCTAAACCCCTGCGGGACCCTGAGTCTTGTGCTTTTAGTACATTTTGGTGTTAATTGATTGGCTTCGTACCATTTAATGCACTTGCCGCCTTCGATATTGCATTCCTCTATCCATTTCTGCTGTGTCTGTGCAGGGAGTGTAATTTTTTTCTTAATATGAGTTTAGCGTACACAATTTGACTTGTGCTTTTGACACCCTTTCCAAAAAATTGGACATTCAGAGCCGTCAGCAGTAAAAAATTACCTTTATGTTTGTTCCAGAGAGCTTTCAGAACGGTCAACAATTCACAATATTTAAGAGGACAGATTTTTAGTCAAATACTAGTCTGTAATTAGAGGAGAGTTAAAAAAATATTTGAGTCATCCTGTCTCAAGTGTCTAACCTTATTGACACCTTTAAAATGCTACTCAGGCAAAATAAAGGGCGCTTGTCAATTCTTATCAATGAGTTGTGCCATAAGTTTTGGTTAATAAAATAATTGTCTGATTTGATTTGCTCTTCAAAGTTTACTTCCGTCCAAATTGTCAGAACTTTATTGAGGAATTTATCTTTTGTTTTGAGTAAAGTCTTTGTGTCTTTCATGTTAAGATTACTTGTGAGGACAGTTTTTTCACCAAAAGATTCCAATTCTAGGTGAAAAAATATTTTCCATTTACTCCTGTTTTCCCTATACAAATACTTATTTTCCTAAAGGAATCAATGTCTATCTTTTTAAGCCCTCCGTTGGGATAGTCATTGATGATAACATTCCGCCTTATTTTGTCTCCCTTTCCGTTCGGAGAAAGGAATAGAAAAGTTTGTTTACTTCTTTTATTGCATTCGCATTTATACACGTGGTTGATAGGATATAAACAAGCTGAGAGACAACACCACTTTTAAGAACCGCTATTTTTCCAATCAAAGTGAGTCTGTGTTATTTCCAGGAGTTTAGTTTCAAGGCAGAAACTTCATAAAAATCATCCAAGGTTTGAAGGCAAGCCATTAGGGATTCTCTCGACCATCTAAAAGTAATGTTGTATCATCTGCATATTGACTTATCTTAATTTGAATTGGCGGTAGGAATTGGCGGTACAAGATCATTTACATTTAATTAGTTAACCAAGCATTGCCACCATATCTTGATACTTATATAGGGATAGTATCGGAATTGGTGGTACGAGATCACTTTGCATATTTTTGGTTTCACTCTTTCTGCACCAACTTGCGGTCTTCTATTTAATTTTTTTTATATCTTCTCTACATGATAGATGCCGATATTTTAATAAATTTTATAGTGTCCATATGCATATATTGTTATACCATTTTCATGTATGTTTGTCATCGAAGCAAGATAATGACACTTTATCAAGCTCATAACTTCCATGTTCAAGACTGATGCTTCGAATTGTATTCATTTTATGATATATTTGTTTATTACCCAGTCAAGTGTTTTTTTAATCTTCATGTTTGAGATCTTTTTTAATTACACATTTTTTGGTACCTTTTGCTGTTCTGTCACTTTTGGAATTATCTTTAGTATAGGAATACATTTTGGATCTCAGTCCAACAAACTCAGTGATAGGAATACCAGTGGCTTCATCTTTGAATTTTCCAATAACTTTCTTATTTGTTTTATCGAAGTATTTAGAGTGTGCTGCGTAATCACCAATATCAAACCTGTCTTTATTATTCCAAAAGTCTCTATATACGTCTTCAGCTTCAATCTCATATGTTAGTGAATCTGTGTCAGTAAATAATAATTTGGCTTATTGAGGTATTTTTGTCTCATGTAATTATAAGGGTAATCATACACTAAAGTTTTAGACAGATCGAGAATACACATGCTAACATAAGCAGGCCGATCAAGAGTGAGTGCTTCTTATGCACAGCTACCAGATTTTTATTGCATATTTTGGAAGATATATAAGTTGGTTTCGAGACTAACTTAAGTAGCTGGTCTTTGCTTGTAACCAGTTTAACATCTGTTCTTTTTCGGATATTCTCCATTGTGTTTCCAAATACGGAATTCATCAATGTAAAGAAATCTTTTTTCAATGAGTTTTTTGCATTTGTTCTTTTCTGGGTATTAAAGTCGATGTATTGTTTTAACCAAGGGGACTGATTGAATTCAAGAACCCTGTGAATCTTTATTAGTTTTAATCCAAGATCAAGATACAATTTAAGGTTTCGGTAAGGTTTTATTCGGAGTCTTAAATTACAATCTTGATGTGCTGATCCTCTGAAATTGCCGGTAATATGACAAAGGTCTCTGACTTTAATATCTCTCGCTGTGTTTTTTTTTTCGGAAATATGATACTCACTTGCTTTTTGAAAGTTTTGCTCATCTTCATCGGTCATTATTTTTTGATTCTCTGCGGATATTTTTCCTGTGGGTTTGAATGTCTATTATGGCACCATCTGAAACACTCATTGTCTTTGTTTTGGAGGTTTATCAATCCTTTGCTTGAATTTTGAAGCTCTGGTGGTAGTTTAATATAAGATGATCCTTTCAATGGATTATAAACAACAGTGTTGATATCGTGATCATTGATAGACACAACTGTCCAGCCAGATCCCTCTGATAACCAAACAGCAATACCATTAAAGATCTCTTGTTCCGATGTTTGCAATTCTCTGCCTATTTCATTCTCATTTGTTCTGATTTTTGTTTTGCTGTTAAAATATGGTGTTTTATAGAGGTTTGTTTCTCCAGCAGCCCTTTTAAAGGTGATTTCGAGTCTCATTGAATTTAAGCCCCCGAGTCTCACCTAAGATGGTTTTGAACCTATGTTCAATAGCTTTTCTTGTATTTTGTAATCGCGGCAATGGGTCTTGTTTGTTTTTTAACTTAACTGGGGAATGATTTTCTGAAACCCTTGAGGGCTTTTTTCTCTACCCTATTTTAGTCCTTGGAGCGGCAACTGGTTTTTTTGGGTTCTTGGAGCTGGAAATGGTTTGTAATCATCTCTGAATTCTATTGGTGGAGGGATGATATTGTTTTCACATTCTTCAACCATCTGTTTGACAGTTTTCGGAAGTGCGGGAACTGGTTTATCAATAACAAATTTTATATTTGAATATTTTTTACTGATGTTCTTGATTGATTGATTGATGAAGATAATTTCTTGGTGTTGGAATAGGCTTTTTTTATTGATTTTCTTAGATTGACTAATTGCTCAAGTTTTTTTTCAGTCGATCCTGATAATAATTCTCGGATTAATTTACTACGGTTATTCATATCCTCAGTTGAGACAACTTTTTCTGATTTTTTCCAGTATATATTTAACAATTATTCCACGAGGGCGCGTTGGATATGAGATGATAGATAGCCAACGAGGCGCGTAGCGCCGAGTTGGCTATAATCATTTCATATCCAACAAGCCCGAGTGGAATAATTGTTTATTAAAAACGCCCACAAAATCTCGTTGAATCGCCCCGACTAGAACAAACCGGAAAAGACAAGGGACTTCCTCTATTCACATGTCACACGTCTATCAAAACTGTCAACGCGCGAACGGACTCGCCTGGACTGCATGAATGAAAAATCAAAACATTGTAGCGATGAACATTAGTTTTTTAAAAACTCATCGGGATTCTAGGATTTTACACAGCAGAACAGCTTCAAAAACCTGGCAGATAATATGAAGGATAAGAATTTTTAAGCGACAGCCGTCGAAATTCCTTTAAATTTGGATTTTCGGTGCAGTTATGAAAGTAAGAACAAAGAAGAAAAACTACCGGTATTACCATGGTCGCTTGTTATGAAGTTGTTTGAAGCCACAAGCTGGTGTTGCTGAACGAGAAAAGAAGCTATACTGTCGCCTCGATTGCTCTAGTGAATGGCTGCATAGCCTGTATTTGTAGCTGGTTACTTGTGATTTATATTCTTGATGTCGGATAAACAAGCTGCAGTTATCTATCGGCGAGTGACTCGATCGGCGAATGGCTTCGCGATCATGAAGAAACAACACTTGTCTTCTTTCGTAGCTGGTCAAGGTACTTTAGTTCCATGTGTTTTCATGTGTTTTTCGACAAACTTTCAAACAAGCTCTTGCGGCTTTTTTGTTTGTTTTTGTCTTTTTTTCTTTCGATGAAATTGCATTTCTAGTATTCTAAGAAATGAATTAAAACGATTTGCTTCGGGCGCCGTTCTATCCTTCGCGAAAAAAAAACTCAGTTAGCTTCCAATTTTAAACTGACGCGTACACCGACCATATATGGAAAGCATGGTATAATAGCTCATATACCATAACGGCTAAGCCGATCAAAATGCTAGAATTGCATTATCCAATGATTCAGTTTTTAATAATATATTTATATATAATCACCAAACCTTTAAGCAAGGAAAACTCTTTTTTTAAAAAAAACATTTATACATAAATACCCGAGAGGGGAAAAAGTTCAATAAGAGAGTGCGTTTATAGTATATATTCACCCGATATATAATTTATATGCCGCGTCAATCATACATATTGTAAAACAAATTCTAAGTAAATGGAAAAAATTAACATACTGGACATACATGTATGCAGTGTACGGTTAGAAAAAGTGGTCAAAAAATGGTAAAACATGTTTTGTTCATCGCTTTGTTTGGGAATGTTTTAATGGAATAATACCAGAGAACAAGGTAATTGATCATATTAATAATAATAAACAAGATAATAGATTATGTAATTTGCAATTAATGACCCAACAACAGAATTGTCAAAAATCGGCAAAAAATCGTGATTATACATTTGCTCCTAAAAATTGTCAAAATAAAAACTGCGTCAAAGCTATTAACCGGACTACACTAGAGATAACTTACTATTAATAATAGTATGCATGCAGTTCAGCAACATCTTGGTATCAATGCTGGTATTATTAAGATGATTTGTGAAGGAATAAATAGAGGTAAATCGGGTAATTCGAAAAAAGATGGTCAACGATATAAATTTGAATATATCAATCCTGGGACTACGCCTGATGATAATAAAAAATCTACACAAACTTGTCAAAAAAGACAAAAATTACTAACAAATGTGGATAAAAAATTACATGTTATGAAATTTGGAAGAAAACCCTATGGTCCGTTTAGATATAATACTAATGAAGAGAGAAAACAAGCCAGAAAGGCTCAAAAAACAAGATATATTCTCGCTAAGCCAAGGTATTGTGATATATGCCTTAATAAGCACAATTATACACTTGCTGAAAAAACCAGGCATTTAACTACACAATTACATAAAAATAAAGCTGAAAGATTAGAAGCAACCAAAAAGATATCAATTAATTTTTCATAATCAAAAGATCCATTTTTGGGATGTTTTAAGAGCAACTGTCTGTAAAAATAGGTACGCAATGCATACAGTTGTCTACTGCGAAAGTTCAGGTAATGGAGCAAAATAAGTGTTGAAATTTAGGTTTCCTTTTATCACAACTTGGAGAGGGTATTTGTGCTATTTTGTCGTATTGTTTGAGACCTATTTCAATGTGACATTGTGTACTGTGTCGTTGTTTTTGTTTTATAAAGATAGCGTTTGTTTTGCTATTGTAATATAGATGCTCGGGTATCTTGGCAAGAGTGTTTAAATGAAATACGATATTTACGTCAAACGCAATTAATAGGGGAGGAGGGGGGGATCTTGTGCTATTTAGACAAACATTTTTGATCGTTCGTGTACCTTTTTCGCGGCATCTTAAATTCCGCATACAGCTTGCGAGAAGGCCTTTTTTTTAGACAATTTGGGTGATTTGTCTTAAGAAATGTTTATCAGCCAATATGTTATGTACATTAGATGTAGTGCATGTTTCCCGAGATGACCCGATATTTATGTACTTTGAACGATTTTACTTGAGAAATGTTTGGATAGAATTTAAACAGGTACAATAATTAAAGATACGAGAAAACCAGTAGTTGAAAATACACTTGATTATTATAATATATTTCACAGTTGTACAAAGTAAATGTAAGCCTCAGCTATCGTATTTTGTTTGTCACGTTAGAAAGACTATTAATATATTCTTTACTTGACATTTCTAATTCCGATTACTCTATTCTATAATTTTGAGAACTATCATAAAAATGTTATTATAATCAATTTTTAAGATTTGCACTGACTACCACTAAAGTGTGATGGTATAGAAAAAGTGAAAAAGTTTTGTCTGATTATTTAGTATTCTCTAGAAGTTCGATTATGTGATTGGACTGTGTATTATTTGTATTTAATATTTTCAATTTGAAGAAATCTTTCCGCTATTTGATCTGTGTTGGTATCTCTGGTAAGGCTTATTCTGAACAATAAGCTTTCCATGACATCTGTCAGAGCAGTAAGCCAGCAATCTTCCCCGTCTATTTCGGCGCAAAGGCGTGCAGACATTCCGTTTTCTGCCGCTTTAACTTTTTGACTAGTTCCACATGAAGTGCATTTGAGAACAGTTGAGCCCACTGCATGCGGCCTTTTTTTCTTGCAAGACTTTATCTGGCATGTCATGAAGACATTTACTTTATCAACAAATTTGAATTCTTGGATAACAATTTTCCTTCTCAGTATTTGAAAAAAGCTGTAGGCCTTTCACTTCAGTTAGTTGGAAGTCTACTTTTTGGAATGTTGTTGTTGGTGTGGTACCCAGTAATGTCATTCCTGAATAATTCTTCACGCTAAGATTTTGGAAGCTGCAAGTGTTTCCACTCTCTAGTTGGGTTAGCGAGTTATCCAGTTGTATAAAAAGTAAAGTAAAGTAAAGTAAAGTGAAGTAAAGTTGTAAAGTGGCAGAACCAGTGCGATCTTCAATCACACAGTCTTCTTTTACGTATCCCTTTTCGCCATTGCGTTTAATGACTTCTTTGTTTGGATTTTGGCCAAGTATTAGGTGGCCTTGTAAATAAACCTTTTGATTTCTTGTCAGAGTTTGGATTTCATTCAGTGTTATATCTGTCGCACTGGAGATTGCTTCCTTCGCTTCCCCTTGCTTTGTCGATGGAGCTGTGCACAGAAAGTTGCACAGAAATCACTGCTGCTAGCTTGGACAATTGAGCTTGTTTGGTTGACAAAGATTGTATCTTCTTTTTCATTAATATTGACAATTTTAGCTGGACTTTTTGTAACCTGGAAATGCAATGCCTGAGCATGTAAATTCTTGTCAAAACCAACCACTCTTGTGAATTTAGTTGGTGATGTTTGAAGGTCAAAATTGTAGTACAATTTTCCAGACCTTACTTTTTTAATGGGCGATAATGAGTGAACGTAACCAACGTTACTATCTGCAATAGAGAAATAATATGGTGAGAAACACATATTAGAAGTGGAGAAGAGGATATAAAGATAATGTAATGAGAGTGGAAGTAGCATTAAGCAGCATGAAGCTTATTGTTATTATTGATCTGTAAACAGCAAAATTTAGGGAATTTTTCTTTATCAGTCTTTTTGCAAATAAATCCTATAATTGTTTTTAAATTGAAATAGTTTAATATATTACGTTAGTTGCAGTAATAAAAGAAGTAGCAGATTTTGAATTTTTTAGTAAAAGAAGACCTTTGCTACATGAAAATGTATTGAGTTGTATTGAATGTAATTTAGGTAAGTTGTCATGATATTGACCAATAGTAAATATCTAAGACTAATGTTTTTATATATTACGTACTTTTATATGTATCTTATTCAAGGAAACGCTTCGTCAATTTGCAAAGTGACGGATAATTTACTTGGCCGCTTACCTTTTCGCTTTGAACTCTCAGCCATTCTTCTCAGCTGATGAAAAAAAAGGAAGGGAAGGGTTTAAAAAAATGCTTCAATAAAAAAATTGTGAGATCTTATTATACCACCACTTGGAAATAACACATGGAATAATTTGGGCAAGTTACGACATGCGATTTCTGAAAGATTTTTTTCAATAGCCGTTTTTCTCTACACCCTTCGTTTTCATTGGCCCTTCTTTTTCTCATATATGTCGTGAATCTACGATTCATGTATGCTAGTGCTGCAACTGTTTGTTATTTGTGTTCTAAATAATTCTGGAGCATCTGGAACTGTAGAGACATAATTAACCTCATTTATGCGGCCTAAGTAAATAGTCCTTTGTTCTCCTTGTAAGGTCACGGCAGGTTCAATTATTGTCCTCTCTGTAAAGTTTTGATGAGATTCTATGATATGTAGTGTTATACCAAGTGCATTTGCTACAGCCTGCACTATGAGACCATCACACCCTGTTCCTTGCATGGACATAGTATTTAAATAGCCTAACCATGAATTTGCAACATTGCTTTCGATAAATTCTTCTGGGTACTCCCTAAGATACTGAATACCAGCATCTCGAATTGCAAAGTGACAATCTGGAGTGCCACACAACTGATGTGAGACAACTTTAAAAAAACAATCTCCATCACCGCCAACATCTAGTGGCCTTAAGCAGATCGTTCTTAATCTTTGTGTTAATACAGCAAATGGCAATTGTGTGGGTCCTGGATTCAGTTCAATATCACCGGAAATTAACAGTTTCCTTCTTGCTATACGAAATATATCTTGAAGTAGTGATGACCTTAATGATACATGTAATTTACTCTCTCTTTGAAAAAAAAGGAATTTGAGTACGAAATAATTGGATATCTCTTTAAAATCTTTCGTCCTGAGGAGCTAATCTTATCAAATGAACTGTTTTTGATTTCTTTGTTTTTCGCTGCGGTACTCGAGGAGACTACCTTAATATTACGACGCTTACAATAAAACTGCTGAAGAAACAATCGTTTCTATATTTATGCATCACATAGTAAGTTTTATAGTTAGCTGCTATGCTTCTTAGTCTAGATGAACGGGGAGACAAATTCCTGAGTCTTAATTTTAGAGTTCTTCACTCCATTCGTTTCTTCACTGACTTTAAAATCTTTTTCAAATTTATCCTAGAAGGTTCACGGCTCCTACTTTTATACGCTTTGTAACCTCTTTTCCTCCAATTACTGTCATGAAGACCTACTTCATGCAAGTATGTAACATATACATCACGACCTTCATCGCCCTTCGTCAAGTGCAAGCTCACCATATGTTGACTTTTGTCACAGAGAGTCTCGAGAACATCGATAAATTTCATACGATATTTGTATTTAACAGATTCTGTAAAGTTTGAAGAAAATTGAAGATTTAGGACAGGAATATATGGAAACAGTTTTCTTGAAGCCAATTTACTCTTGTGAAATGTGCGAACTAATTTGTGGCAAATGAAGTTGACATATTTTGTATTGCTGTTGCGCAAAACTGCACTTTTACACATTTAGAAAGATCGAGAACATATGGAAGGTAAAAACGGTAACTAAAAGACAGTAGATTTGAAAACAACTCAAGGTATAGAGAAGAAAGTGGAAAATTTGGGAAAGGAATATAGGAAAAGAGATCTCTTAAATCCAATTTATTCTTGTGGACAGGATAAAGATATTTTTTCACAATTGCCCGCATTCCTTTCCGACTACAAAACTCTGCCTGATCACTTACACAATTGGCGAGATCGAGAAAATATGGAAGGTAAAAACGGCCCCTTAAAGAAAATAAATATGAAAATAGCCCAAAATGAAAGTTAAAGAAACAAACATACTGTTCTGGAGAGCTCACAACCCTTAGAAAGCTTACTCGACTTTTTTGCTTTTCTCTAATGAGTAGGACATTTTATTTGTATTCTGCTTTTGGAACCGTGCTAGTGTGCCTCGAGTTTGAGACTGAAGTGGGTCGATTTGTGCCCGAAGTGGGTCTATTTTTGACCAAAGTAGGTCGCTTTGTGAATTTCTAAACATCTTCAATGTTCTGTGAACAACAGACAGCGTTGTTTCGTCGAGTGCTAGAAGAAAGCAGCTACGATTCATGACTCATTCATTGGCCGATTAAACTTCTGCGAAGTAAATAACGCTCCAAAACATTAAATTGTTCCTGCGACTTTTTACGTAAAAAGTTAATTACAAAAACAAATTACAAAACTAAAACTTACCCTCAGCAAAACACGCTTCGTATATCCCCACTGCTCTGAAGTCTTAACCGCACGCCCGAACAGCATACAATGACTGCACTGACTTACCTCGTTCCATGACTTGAGTTTATAGGGATTTTTGTTCGGACATATTTCATCGCTCTGTTTCACTTGTGATTGGTTGAGATTGGAAGTGCGATAATTTATTGATTACCTACAAATTATCGATTTTAAGAAACTTTTTCTTCAGTTTTCATGATGTTCATGGCTTAGTGTCTTCTGCGCAAGCGCAGTAAACACAAAAATCGAGGAAAATCGAAATTTCGTTTATATCTTGTACATAGTAAGGTAATACCAAGTAACTAATCGTGGTGTAGTTTGTTTTTCAAAAGGCCGCCTCGATTTGGAGAAAATCGACAAAATCAATTTTTCGAGGTCGGTGGCTTGAAAACAACCACAAGTTGAGTCAAAATGAGGCGTTCTCGAAAGTTCGCTTGCAGGCAGAAAGGAAGAAAGCAGAGTAAAATGTTCAAAGGTTTTTACTTCTAGTTTAGTGGCGCATTTTTAACTTTGCGATAATCTGGAAGTTACAAATTTTTATTTTAGTATGGATACTTTTTTAACCGACCGAAGTTTAAATTTTGGCTGCGAGTTGCATTTTAAATTTTAGGTATGTGCTACACCTTGGATTAAACTGAAACTCAGCTTATAAGTTATTAAAACATTGTGCTAAACCATCTGTAAGAACTGGCTTGGGTAATTCCACACGAACGTTCTGAAGTTGAATAAATTTCGCCTGAAATATGAGAGTTTTCATGCAATGATCGTCGGTTTGTTGTAACTGGACAACACACGAAGGCTTTACGCCTCGGCTAAAAACCTAAACGAAGGTTAACCCACAATTGCACTTGTATTTAAGAGATCTGCACTGGAACATTTTGTTACCTAAATGCTTTTTCCTTTGTGGTCAATTTGCATTTTTTTCTGCTGATTTGTTAGTCCACAGGCCGCCCAGACGTAGTGTCTGTCAATATATTTATATTCACATGGACAAAATGGGATGAGTCGTCGAAACTCCCATGAGCTAAAATAGTCCAAAAGTCAAAATATAACAAAACAAAGCTAAGGTACCTTTAACTGAACGTCTCCTTGTATTTCATGGCCGGTTAAAGCGGCATTTTGTTGAGTTTTGCAATCGTAGGTACTATCCACTAAAGAAGAATTAAAGGCTGGCTACAAAACAAACGGCCCATCTCCACGCGCCTGCACGCGAAGCGCTATAAATTTGAGAATAATAGACGAATCCGCTCCAAATTGCCATCGGCTAATCTGCAGGTAACGTATGCTCCGGCTTCTTGCTCGCTGGCTCCACAAAAACCATCGCAACTGCACAATAATCTTTCGCTCATCAACAAACACTGTTGCCCTTTACGCTTCGATATGACCGCAAACTGCCAGGATTAATACACGTCGTGAATATTCAAGCTTAGCGATCGTGTCCGCGCGACAATGCATCATTTGCTATGGGAGGGATGGTACAATTGCTTCTAGGTAAATCAATTGATTTATTCGCCCTGAAAACTAATCCCGAAATGGCTACATTGGTGTTTGAAGCGTCACGTTCAGTTTAAAGTGCCAGGTTAACAATGCCTTCCGCTTTCAATCTAGGTTCTTGGGAATTTACGTCGTTGGAGCTCTTACGGTAAAATTCTTCCTAAACACCATTACGAACCAAACGATGGCAAATTTGCAAACTACTGTCACACGCCTAGGAATCATGATTTTAAGCAAGTGTTTTGGTGCTTATCATCACAGCGACATTTTGGAGCGCTCACACTGAAATTCACGCTGAAACCAATTGTGGCCCAAAAGATGGCCAATTTCCAATACTTTGTGACAGGCCTCTTATTCATTGTTTTCTGCCAGTCATTAAGTGCGTATGATGTGAGCAACATTTTAGAGCCCTTACAGTGAAATTCTTACTTAACAAAATTATGACTCATAAGATGGCTAGTTTGGAAAATACTGTCACACTCCTCAGAATCATCGTTCTCTCCTAGTCTTATGCTGCTTACTATCACAACGAAACTTTGGAGCTCTTACCTTAAACTTGTCACTTAACCCTATTATGACCCTCACACGCCGAAGAACTATCGCTCTCTGCTAGTGTTATAGTGCTTACCATCAGAACCTCACTTTGAAGCTCTGACCGTGAAATTGTTACCTAACCTCATTACCACCCAAAAGATTGCTAATTTTAAAAAAAATTGGTCACGCGCCTCCCAATCATCGTTTTTGTCTAGTTATTTGGTGCTTATTGTCAAGCCGACATTTTGGAGCTGTTAGTATGAAATTCTCGCTGAACCCCACTACTGCCCAAAAGATGACCAATTTGCAAAAAACTGTCAGACGCCTCAAAATAATCGTTCTTAGCTTGTCTTATGGTGTTTATCATCAGAGCGTCTCCTTGGAGCTCCTACGGTAAACATCTCGCTAAACCCCATTACTAAACAAAAAATGCTCAATTTGCTCAATACTGCTACACGCCTCTGAATCATCGTTTTCAGCTAGACTTATGGTGCTTACCATCAGAACGACACTTTGAAGCTCTTACCGTGAAATTGTTGCTTAACGCCATTACGACCCAAAAGATTGCAGATTTCTAAAATTCTGTCACATGCCACTGAATCATCGTTTTCATCCAGTTATTTGGTGCTTATCGCCAGAGTGACATTTTGGAGCTGTTAGTGTGAAATTCTCGCTGAACCCTACTACTGCCCAAAAGATGGCCAATTTGCGGAACACTGTCAGACGCTTCATAATAATCCTTCTTAGCTTGTATTTCTTGCTTATCATCAGAGCGTCATTTTGGAGCTCTTACGGTAAAATTCTCGCTGAATCCCATTACGAAGCAAACGATAACCAATTTGCAAAATACTGTCCCACGCCTCGGAATAATCGTTTTCACCAAGTGTTTTGGTGCTGATCATCAAGGCGTAATTTTTGAGCTCTTACGGTGAAATTTGCACTGAGCCCCATTGTGGCCCAAAATATGGCCAATTTGAAACACACTGTCACAGGCCTCTTATTCACTGTTTTCCGCTACTTTGTTTGTGCGTATCATGTAAGCAACATTTTGGAGTCCTTACAGTGAAATTCGTACTTAAAGAAATTACGACTCATAAGATGGTTAGTGTGGAAAATATTGTCACACGCTTCAGAATCATCTTTCTCTGCTACTCTTATGGTGCTTACAATCAGAACGACACTTTAGAGCTGAAAGATGGCCCAAAAGATGGCCAATTTGCAAAATTCTGTCACACGTCTCTGAATTAACGTTTTTATCTAGTTATTAGGTGCTTTTCATCAGAACGACATTTTCGACCTCTTACGGTAAAATTGTCGCTGAAGCCCATTACAAACCAAACGATGGCCAATAAGCAAAATACTGTCACCAGCTACGAAGTCATCGTTTTCAGCTAGTGCTTTGGTGCTTAGCATCACAGCGACATTTTGGAGCTCTTACGGTGAAATTCGCGCTGAAGCTCATTGTGGCCCAAAATATGACCAATTGGCAAATCACTGTCACGGGCATCTTATTCATCAATTTCTGCTCGTCTTTTGGTACGTATCATGTAAGCAATATTTTGGAGTCCTTACAGTAAAATTCTTACGTAACAAAATTATGACTCATAAGATGGCTAGTTTGGAAAATACTGTCACACGCCTCAGAATCATCGTTCTCTCCTATTCTTATGCTGCTTACTATCACAACGACACATTGGAGCTCTTACCTTGAAATTGTCACTTAAACCTATTATGACCCTAAAGATGGCCAATTTGAAACATACTGTCACACGCAGAAGAATTATCGCTGTCTGCCATCAGAACCATACTTTAAAGCTCTGAGCGTGAAATTGTTACTTAACCCCATTACGACCCAAAAGATGGCTAATTTGAAAAAATTTGCTCGAACGCCTCCGAATCATCGTTTTTGTCTAGTTATTTGCTGTTTATTGTCAAGCCGACATTTTGGAGCTGTTAGTGTGAAATTCTCGCTGAACCCCACTACTGCCCAAAAGATGACCAATTTGCAAAAAACTGTCAGACGTCTCATAATAATCTTTCTTACCCTGTCTTATGGTACTTATCATCATAGCTTCATTTTGGAGCTCCTACGGTACACATCT